ATGCAGCATCATGCCTGACCTTATGGACTTTTAAGTGCAGCATTTATTTCAGTATTATTAAGAAGAAAAAAATAGCACCAGCCTGCTTATATAGCACTTTCTTATTACATGACTGTGAGGTCATTCAGACTTTTGAAACTTTAAATTGAAAAAATATGTTTTATAAGAAATACAATGAGAGAATTAACTGTTTTTATATTTTGATCATTTTGATTTATGACATGAAGCCTATGTTTATCCTTATACAACTAGCTTTTAATTTTAATTTTTTTTAGTCTCAAAACTTAAGTTTTCTGAGTCTACCATCAAGAAATCCTTCTTTAAAAAAATCCTTTCAAAATTTAACATTTTGTTGAAGTCAACCCACCTTCAGGAGCACATATTCAAATTCATATTGTTGATGAGCTTTGACAAAAGTATACACCCATTTGACTTCTACCATTATCAAGATACACAATATTTTCTTCACTCCTCATAGCAATACCAGTCAGTTTCACTCCACCCTGCCCTTTATACAAGAACTGCTCTGCTGTCTTGGTTAAATTTATGTTTCTAGATCTTTTGTCAAGTGGGGTCATATGGTATTTACTTTCTTTGGTGCCTGGTTTCCTTCATTCAGCATATTGTTTATGACTCATCCGTGATGTTGTTTTTCTAAATCAGTAGTTTCCTTTTAATTCTGAGTAGTATTCCATAATGGAATATATGGTTATTTCACAATTTACCCTTTTGTAGGCAATGGATCAGAGTTGCTTGCAGTTTGAGTCTATGTTGAATAAAGTGCTTGTGAATATTTGTATGCACAGGGAGTAACCTTCAAAAAAGTTCTTGTAAGCACAGGCAGTTCAGTCCCCATCCCTTGTTCTAAAAATCCTCTGACTCTTGTTACTTGCGGCTTACTCTTCACCTGGTCTGTCAAATCAGGTAGTTAGAGCTAAGTCTCTGCTGAACAGAACTGTTCCCCTTCTCTGTTATTTCTTCTATTCTGCTGTGTAAACTTGATTATAAAACAATACTAGCATTTGACAGTGTCAGACAGTTGTCCTGGCCGCAGAAATATACGGGATTAAATGGTAGGAGGTTCCAAACTGGCTTTTCATTTTATAAGAGGGAGTGGGAAAAGAATTCTAGATGGGCTTTTCACTAGTGGTAAGCATTCAGGTAATCAACTTCATCAAGCTTCATTTTTTTCCAAATCTGGAAAAGAAATAAAACATTCCAGAATGTGAGAATCAAAGGAGTTATCTGTTCAGCATTTATGTGTTGAGAACTCTGTCCTAGGCTCCGGGGATAGAGCAGTAGGCAAAACAAAAGGACCTGACCTCACCGAGGGAGGTGACAGAAAAAATACATATATTAGAGTTGATAGTGATAAGTGCTATGGAGAAAAATATAGCAGGGAAAGGACACAAAAGGTTATAATTCATTCTTGGCTTAGAGTTGCTTGAAACTAGAGATTGATCTTTCTCTTTTATCTCTCATGTTATCTGACTGTCAGCTGTACTTGAAGTGCTGCGCCAGTGTTTCCAGAATGGAAGGAATGACTAAAAACCAGTGCTGAGAAGTTTATCTCGTGAAATCACCGTGATGCTGCTTACCTGGACACTTTCCCTTGCTTCTAGACAGGTAATATTTATGTCAGCAGGAACAGTGCCCTTCCATTCTCCTTGTTTTTGCTGGATCATTAAGTATCCTATTCTTACCTTTTCTTGGAACTCAGAATTCTTTAACTGTGTCTTCTAGAGTATGACATATTGTTTTCTAAAGATACATGCATTTTCAAGCCCTTGTTGAATGAGTGATATAAGAAACAATCCCACAAATGATTTATGATGTCAGGTTTTGTTTTTTTTTTTTTTACTATTTTTATTTTGAGAGGGTTCTCTCCATGTAGTATAGGCTGGCCTTGAACTTGCTTATGTAGCCCAGGCTGTCTTCGAACTCCAGGTGAAAATACCCGATACCCGAAGTCAAAGAGAAAAAGACTGATTTAGTTCACAGTTTATAGAGGTTTCAGTCTATAATCAGCTGGTTCCAAGGAAGGGTGGCACATGGCAGACAGGGAATAGTTGAAGGTGGTGGAAGACAGCAAAAGAAACAAGAGAGAGAGAGAGAGAGACAAGACTCTTTCTGTCCCTTATTTAGTATCTAGTCTACCAGGATCAGTGTGGTGCCAATCTAATCAGTGGACTGATCAGGCAATCACCTACCCTTAATTCCAGCATCCTCAATCCCAGCATTGCATTATGAATCAGTCACATATACTAGATTCAGCCACTTCTGGAAAACTATGACCGCATGAGATTTTGGGGGTACATCTAGACACAAACCCTAACAGCAATCCTCCTGCCTCAGCCTCCTGGTTGCTGGGATTACAAGTGGGTGCCACCATACCTAGCTATGTCAGTTTGTACAATAAGGAGTTTTGATACTCTACAGTAACAGGAAAACTGGCCTGCTTATGCAACAGATAATTAAAGTCATGCTTCAGAACAGTATGCAGTGTCAAGGGATAATGTGCTTAATATTTAGTGAAGTGGGATAAAATAAAACAGTATGCCATCTCATACATATAAAATACAACTGGGCTTCTAAGTGATTGCAATTTTTTTATGTTTTCAACATATTTTACATCAAGCCCATATTATTAGTCATTCCCATACTATTTTAAACAACCATAAATTTAATATAAAAGGAAAATTTTTCCTACGTGATGGCTTGATAGTGTGAAATATTTATTTAAGATCTACAAAATATGATAGAATGAAGACCCAGTCAGAAGATAAAATAGCTGAACCAGAGTACTGGAAACGATAAACCTGCAAGGGTGTAAGAACGAAGTAGGTATATATGAAAAAATACTTTGAATTGCTCGTGTAATTCTAAAGCGTAATCCTGGTGTCATTCATCATAAACACCACAAGAGCAGGGACTTGGTCTACTGCTCTATCTTTATTACCCATCGCAAAACATGTTCAATAAACATTATGGAAAAACACAAATATTTTGTTTTGCTAATAGGTAATTATTTTACAGGAGAAAGCTGTTACCATCCATTTTTTTCTTTCACTCCACAATTCCCTCAGCTTAAAATCTGAGTACCTTGTCATTCAAGGTTTAATCAATCCAGTTGTATATCTTCTTTGCGATTCCAGTAACATAATACATACAAGGATAGTACTCCTGAACTACAGATTCTGTTGTTTTCTCTTGAAATCTTAGAAATGCTAGCTGACATCTAAAATCTTTAAGTATATAAACACGTTTATTTGACTTAGACTGCTCTGAAATAAACTTTCAATACTTTCCTCATTTTTGTGTTTCTGTTCTTAAGGCTACAAGCAGTTCTATGCTAAATATCAGCAGTTTTTTCTTTTCTTTTCTTTTCTTTTTTTTTGTGTTTTGCTCCTTGAATGCCTTCAGGGCACTTTTGCATGGCTGGAGTGTTGTGGGGATCGAACTACAGCGAACTGAGGCTGCCAGCATTGTGGAAGCAGCCACTTAAAGAACTGAGCTAGGGCTGGGCCCCCGATTTTCTTATTTTCACAGCACTCCATTAGCGCACAATTTTTCATCTAGTGTTGGCAAATCAATATTTGGAAACTCTGCCATTGTCTCGTATTGAGGTGCAATTATTATTCTGGGTCATTTAAATAAAGTATTCTTTGCATTAAACACAGCTTGTCATAAAAATTACGCCAACAGTATCAGTGTACTGGGAATCTCGGGAACAAGGTGTCGGTTTTCCAATTCCAGTAATACGTTGGGGATTATGTTTTGTTGAGATCGCATTTGCCCGCGTCTCCTGCAAAGCCCTCCCGAGACCTTACGCTCGTCACCCGTCCCCGAAGGGCTGTGCAGAACTGAGACTGGAGAGCTGGGCGTGGGGCTCCGCGGGCAGGTGCGGGCGCCGGGGTGCAGCGGAGCCCCGGACGCTCCTGGATGTTGTTTTTAATCCTGAGCCGCCCCGCTAGAGCCACGCTTCCGTCGCCCATTTCAGGACCCCTCTGAGGCCGTGGAACTACGATTTCGGTTCCGAGCGCAGAACCCACCCGGCCCGGACGCGCGAGCAGACAGCTGTGCGCAGCGTCAGCGAAACTTGCGCCTTAGTGCGGGGCGCGCGGCACGGAAGCAGCCGCGCAGAGCCGCAAGTCGCCCGGCCGAGCGGTCCGCTGGCCGAGGGAAGGCGCAGGCGGCGGGGGCGGAGGACCCGTCAGCGAGCGCGCTCCGGGGGCCGCGGCGCAGCTTCGGCCCCAGAGTTCGGCGGCTCGCGCCGGCCGCTTCCAGAACGCTCCAGCCGCGGCCAGGCCCCGCCCCGCCGGGGCTTCCCCACCGCCCCTCATTTGCATGGTGCAGCCCCTCCCCCGCGGCCATTGGCCAGCGCCGGCACCGCCCCCTCCCCCGCCGCGCAGGGTTCCGTCCCGAGCAGCCCGGAGCTGCGGGCGGCGGCGGACTGTTAAACCGCGGCGGCCGGGCGGGAGCGAGGCACGCGCAGAGGAGGCGGCGGCGCCGCGGGCGGGAAGCGGGCGGGCGGCGGCGAGAGACCGTCTCAGCGGCCCCAGCACAGCCTGACCGGCAGTGCGGCGCGGCGGGGAACCAGGGCGCCCCAGCAGGCGAGTGGCCGGGGGCGGCTCCACGGCGGGCTGACGAGGTGGGTCTCGGGCGGCCGGGACCCGGCAGCGCGGGGAGGGAGAGTGAGGACCGTCACAACAGTGCCCGAGTCCTCTGGGCCGTCGGACTCTGAGCTGCGGCACTAGATCGTGGTCTAGGGTAGCGGTCGGACCGCAGCCAAATTTAAACGGCCAAATCCAACAGCCTTGGCAGGAGCTGGGAGGAGGGAGGAGAGGTGGAGGGCGGGGCGAGGGCGGGCCCAGGGCGGTCACGTGTGCGCGGGGCGGGGCTTGGCAGGCTTCCCTTTTGTTTTGTCTGGCGCGTGCGCAGAAGCGTCACACGTGGTCCCGGGTCCGCCCTTGGGCTCTGCGGCCGCGCTTCACCTCGGGCGGGTGTGGTGAGCGCTGTTTTTTGGCAGCTCGTAGGCGGAGCCTGCTGAGACGCGACCTCGTTTCTATTTTGTTTATTTCGTACTTTATTTTAGGCGGGCATTGATTTGACCTTTAGGTTTAGTTGGCATTAAACGGAATCGGAATCTAGAAGACCCTTGAGGAATGGTACTGAAATTTTCGTTGGCTGTCCCAGCCCATCCGGCTGGAAACCCCAAGAGTGTTTGGTGGCGCAGAACGGAAAGCTGCAGGCTTTGATCATTTCAGAAACCGCTGGAAAGGACGCGGCTGCTTTCCAGCCCAGACGGCGAGCACTCTGTGCTTCGGATCTCCGGGCGTCCCTCCTCTGTTCGTCCCTGTCCTCCTCCGAGCGGGACTCCGGAGGTTTCTCCCCTCCGTCTCGGAGGAAGCACTTTCAGTTTGAGATCCCCAAATTTAACAGCAGTCCTGTGCCCGCGAGGTTAAAGAAACTAGCTTCCTTCATCTTTCCTTAAACAGTTTCCATAACTTTGTGCTGAGTTGGGTCAGTAGAAAAAATTATTGTAATACTGACTGGGTCGAACAGGTTAGCCTCAAATCCCTTGTGAAATACATTTGGGAATGCTGTACAGGGCAAAACAGGCAGTGTAAAAGATCAGTATGGGAGAAAACCCTGACTTTGTGGAATGCAGACTGCTTGAGGAAGGTTTCTCCGAGAGTCAGTGGTTCCTGCCTCTTCTGATCTTTAGCCCTTAGCTCGGGCAAGTCACAACCTCTCGTCTCAGATCTGTTTCCTCTTATAAATCATTTCATAATATGGGCCTGTCTTAAGAGAGTGTTAGGAAGATCAAATGTCTTGGTAGAAGTGACTGTAATCTTTACCAACACTGCAAATTCAGAGATGACCAGATAGTACAGTTGCGTAACAAAAGTTAAGTTTTGAAAAATCCAGCTGGTGGACTAGAGCGACTAAATTATGAAATAGGATGAATGTGACTTTCTCAAAATCTGATGTAACTACTGTCTTTCATTCTCTCTGTTTTCACTTACCTAGAGCTGTGCCAAAGTCTCCCACTATTTTCTTTATAGCTTTAATCTACATAGGTTATCATTACTTCCATTCTGTAGTCTTTCTAGAGTAGTTTTTATGATGTGAAATGCTTTTTAATCAAAAGCAATTCCTGTTGATTTTTGCATTTTAATTTTGCTTGGTAATAAGGGCTTTTTTTCAAATAACAATTGCTTATCATGTTAAATCTTACTGCAAAACAATTTGGAAAACAGAAAAATACAAATAAAAACATAAGTTGTGTTCTTTATTTTCTCATATATGTGTGTTTTTCCTAAAACAGATCATATAGGATCTTCATTTGACTAAGAAAAATTTCGGTTTTATTAAGTGTATTGGAAAAAATATTTTAATAGCTGCTTAACGTTTCATTATGTACATAATCATATTTTAAGTTTTTCTATTGGGAGATTGTCGGGTTGTTTCATTAACAGTGTAAATTTCAGTATAGGCAGTGGCCTTTTACATAATTCTTTGAAATTCCCCTCTCCTCTCCTTAGATTTGTAGTTCTGTTAAATTTTTATTTTTCCTTCTCGGTCAGAGTCTATTTGTTTTTAAGGCTTTTATAACTTTACCAATTTACTTTTTAGAATGTATATAGTATAGTGTTATAAGCATGCCTTTTGTTTGTTCATCATCTAGCTTTAGCTTTAAAAGGAAAAGCCTTACTTTTATTTTCATTAATTTTTTAAAATATGTATCTGTAAGATATGTCTTATTTTCTAGCTTATTGTAAAATACTTAAGAGGAAAATGCTTCATACTAGTACTGTAGGACATACTACAAAAAACATAGTAGGTACACAATAATTCCTAATTTGTTATTAATATTTATGTTTTATAATCTATGAAAGATCAGCAATTGAGTCTTTCAGTTGTGACTGCTTTGCTAGCCATAGTATAATGTTTGATTCCCTTGCGTACTTGCTGCTTCAGGTGGGTGTCACTGATGTCATTGTAGTTGTCTAATAAAAGTTCCATCTTCCTTTTTCCAACTGCTGAATTCAAATGCTGAATGCGGTTTTGCTGCCATTTATCATAATTGAAGACTTTTGCGTTCTTTACTCATTCAACCTATCATCTAGGGAATTAAAGATTTTTCTCTGATCATTGTAATTTCACTTGTAGCCTTCTTGAACAAAAGAGATTTTCTAGTTTCTGAATTTACTTGTTTTATTGTTCAGATTAATCTTTTTTTTTTCAGATTGTTCTTGACAACTCTCCTGTTTTTACCTGTAGCATAGTTCTATCACGTGATCCTTGTATGTAGTATGCAGTACTTGCCTTTATGTCTTTAATGTATCCGTGCAGTTATCACTTTCTCATGTCTTTTTAAATTTGTCCATAATGTATCAGATGTTAGTTAAAGAGGCAGGTAACTGTCCTTCAGGTTTAGAATTAATTTATAAGCTTCAAGAAATGGGGCTCATTTGCAACACAGGTGACAGTTTGCAATTAACAACCAGTGCACTGCCTTGAAAGCATATCATCTATCCTTACAGTCTTTATTGCCTTATGGTACTATGATGGAATATTATACAAGGACCCTATATAAAAAAATAATAATCTAGTCTTATTTTCAGTATGTTAGATGTGCAAAGGCAAAGAAAGTATAGTATTTCTAAAAACATTGTTTTTTTTTCTTTTAAATCTTGTCCTGAATATGTATTTCCCTGATCTGTGATCCTCAATCTCCAATTATGTAGGTTAAAACACCCAACAAGTGTTAATAAAAATGGTAGTATACTTACAAGTAGAGAGTCTACTATGGAAATTGAAGACAATTCACAGATGAAATTTTTAGTACTTAATGTTATTTTTTCGTTCTTGAAAACACTCATTCTACATAGGTGTAGTTCATTTTATTGAAGCTTTATTAGTATTTTTAAATTGTTTATGAACTTTTTCTTTGTAAATTTGAAGCTTTCTTTCCAGCCTTATAATACAAATTCTCATGTATGTCATTTTTGATAATTTTTTAAAAAAATATTTGGTAGTAGGTTATTAACCAGCGTTTACATACATTTATAGATTGAAGTCAGAATTTATAGATTGAACAAATGTAAATTCTTGCATCCAAATTGATGTACACAGAAAAACAATGACTCGTTTATGTTCCTATGAGTCATGCACTTATATAACTGAATAGTAATAATTCTACTTGAAGTATGACCTGTTTGATGTGTTATGTGGCCACCCAAGTGGCTTTATCTTTAATTAAATTCCTTTAGTCTTCAAAGAGAATTCCTTTTTAGGCATGGTTTTTAAAGTGGAAGCAGTTCTTGCTAATAAACATCTTTGAATTTAGAAGAAGAGATTTAACTATACCCTGGTAATGCCAATTACTGCAGTGTTTTCTGCCATAATTGAAAATTCTCCTGAAAATGCACAGAGAAATTTTGAAACCACAGCACTCTATTTTGTACTTCTAGCTTCCACTATGGTAGATCCGATGTTTAGAGGAATAAAATTGTTCCAAAGTTAACTCTCCTCTTATTATTGTTGTATTAATGAGATTTTCCTTTTAAGTGTACAAGTTAGAAAATGTGAGGCCTCATAGGATGGCAGTCTTCTTTTTATTAAAAAGATTTCAATTTTTTCCTCCAGTTGTTTATACTGTGATTGGCATGGGTTTGCAGTTTGAACATTCAAGTTACAAGTGTAGAAATAATTAAGATTGCACTCTTGAGGGTTCTCTTCTGTCACTGCTATTGGTACTCTTTCTTTCTTCCTTTCTTTTTTCTTTCTGTTTTGGTTTAAGGGTAAATATGCATTGCTCTTGATAATTTTATTCTAGTTTTACTACTCTGCAATTAAAAGAATTGGGTTTTCAAGATTATAATTAAAAGTAAATTTAATGTTCAGGGTAGATTTGTATGTTTTCTCTGGACTGTATAAAATATATGGATGCATCTTCGAACACAGATACAAAATAAAGTTTTAGGCGGTGATAAATCATTCAGTCTTTAATCTTTGTTCTCAGGTGGAAGGGTGGTTCTTAGATTTTCAATTTCAACTCTGATGATAGAAAGACTAAGTTAGCAAATGTTTTTATTTTTCTTTGGAAAATATGTCAAAAATGTTTGGCCCATATGACAAATTCTGAAGGCTTGGCTATTAAGTATCTGAACCAACTCAGTAATTATTACACTGGTAATTATTATGTACATGCAGCTTTTACTATAGTTTATGATATCCAGTGGGGTAAGAGTGTATTTAATTAATGCTAAATTCGTAAATGTGAATGATTTACAAATCTTAAAAATACAGATTTCAATCTCCACCCCACCCCCCAAAAAATCAGATTAAATTCATTAATGGAAACATTCTGGAGACAAGGGCACAGCCTTTTATTTATAATAATACAACTTCAAAACAGCAAATTCCTTCCTTAATTCTCAGTGAATGCTCTTTGGATTAAATTTTTGACTAAGAATCAAAAATTGTTATATACTTAACCATGTAATCCAGACCATTGTTCTACTGGATTAGTTTGATTTTATTTATAATAATGAAATTTAATTTAACTGAAAAGAAAAATGATTTGATCTTTGTAGTGAAAAGCAGTATTTATTATTTTAAGTTGTAAACTTTGGCCTGCTTTACTGAAATTCTCTGTCTGGTTGGTATTTTTTATGAGACTCTAAGAACAATAGTTACATGTTGAGATCTGGGTTGTTTGCTGAAGGATTATTTATTTAGTGGATTGTCTATAATGGTTTCACAAAAGACTTTTTTGTTACAAGTAAAATTTTTAGGTTACTGTAGTACTGAGAATTTTTTTTAAATTAATGTAAGTTGAAAATTCTTTGTAAAAACATAAATTCATACCAAGAAGTATACTTTATTATTTTAAAGAGAAAACCTCCAAAATTTCAAAACAATAGGAGGATGACAATGGTTAATACTTTGGGTATTGTTATGTTTAAATTAGTTACTCAAGGGCTGGGGAGATAGCTCAGTGGAATAAATGCTTGCCTGGCTAATGCAAGGTCCTGAGTTTGATCCCTGGTACCACACACAAA